TGGACATTTAGCTGCATATATATATATATATATATATAGAGAGAGAGAGAGAGAGAGAGAGAGGTGGAAAATTGCGAAAATCAACCCAAAAAGTTCTTGAGCTTTTTAACATTCTTTTGGTTAAATTATTTTGATATAAATTTTAATATAAACTTAGTTTTTATATGTAACTCAATAAGCTTTTCAATTTGCGACTACAGCTTAACCCTTGAGGGTAAAAAATCTGAATTCGTCTTTATAAAGTTATGTTTAGAAGAAGTATACTTCTGCGTCTTATTTCGTAACTTCAAATATTTGCTGCAACTCATTAATTGGCATGTTTAAAGTTTAAACTCAAACAATTGAATTTTAGTAAGTAAAAATTCAGTCAAATTATATTCATGTTTGTTACATAAGGGTAGAATGAAAAACAAATTGTCAACTACCATCAACTACTAAAATCTTGTGACTGAATTGTTCTAATCTTCCACCCAAATAGGCCAAAAATTATGAAAATTAGACTAAAAATTCTTAAAATTAAAAATTTTGAAAAAAGAAAAAGGAAACAGAATTTGTTGATACGATAGCGCTTAAAAGTTACTATTCCTAAACAATATTAAATATTCAAGATTTTCGAATTATAAGTTGATATTTATTGCCACCTTAAGGGCTCCGAATTCTAGATATTAGGCATACATTATTTTTAAAGAATGTATATTTCTCTTACTTCATTTTATGCTATCAAAATACAACCATTAATATCCAAAATTCGATGTTAAGAAGATTCCTTTAAAGAATCATTTTTAAATTTGTCAACAAAATATAAGTTTGTTTGTTTTTTTAATTTGAAGAATTTTTTGACTAATTTTTATAACTTATGAACCGTTGAGGTAGCTAAAGTTATCAATTCAGAGTTAGTTTTATTTACTTCTTACGATGTTCACATAATAGCAAAATTTTAGATAGTTTTTCATCCCGCTTAGATGAGCATGACAAAAAATATTTATGAATAATAAAATGTGTTATACTTGATGATTCAAAAACTTCATTTGTTTAAAAATTATAAAAATGGTAATTAAATGCTAAAAAAATCATAAAAATGGTAATAATTTGCGTCGAGTACTCAAAATAGAAACCTATTATCCAGAATTTCCTGATGTGAATGATGAAATAAAAGTGATTTGAAACAAAAAGGTTACCAACAAAAATGTGGAAAATAAGGGTGAAAAACAAACCGCGGTAGTGGAGAATGAAAAAAAATTAAAAAAAAAAAAAAAATACTGGAAAAACCGAAATGGTTAAGAGGGTCAAATAAGGGCAAAATGCATTTTTGATTGCTATGAAGAGGTCCCGAGAAACTCGTGTTGTTGACAGGGGAATCGACATTCATATGAATGGAATAATATTCCAGGATATCAAGATAAGGATGTAATAGGATGGAAAGAATTTTGGCATCAAATTTATTACCTTTAAATTTTAATGCAACGGAATGATATGTTGAGAATTAATGTGTTGTTTATTGTTTCAGGTTTCCAGATATTCCAAAAGTGAATGGTAGCAAAAGAGAGGTATCAAATATGCCTCACATTATTATTGAAGCCTCACAGGAAAATCCTACATCCCCTGCACCTTATTTCACATCGGAAGGCCCATCCATTTCTCCTACTGTTGCTGACGGCATTCCTGAAGAGGATGCTGAAAATGAAGATGACGATGATGGTCGAGATGGTGAAGATGAAGAAGAATTTGAAGAACATGTTACCCATTCCATTGTTCCTAGACGCCTAACAATTTCATCAGACTTAAATGTTTATTCAAATGATGGTATTGTCTCGCCTCAAACCAAACTTCCAATGGTGGCTGTTGTTTTAGCCGAGTCCAATTCACCCCGTTTTTTCCATCAGCAAGTCCGCAGGACATCTATAAAATCTCCTAGATCATCAGGATTTGGTTCAAGCTCATCGTTGACTGAAGGGAGTGGGAAAATAATTGATCCTGAAATGAGTGAAATGTATAAAGTGACTTCGGTGACTTCCTCTTTGAAAAAAAAGGCAAGACTAAAAGGGCGTTTGCCACTACGACCTCATGGACATTTAGCTGCTCGAGCCTTGCCATCAGACGCCGAACGTCAAAAGAGACGATTGGCAAAAGCTCGCGAACGCAGAGCTACCCTCATTTTAGGTTTAATTATGGCAGCTTTCATCTTGGCCTGGTTGCCATTTTTTGTGCTATACGTTCTGGAGGCTTTATGTCGAGACTGTGCTATTGCACCTACAGGTTTTGCAACTGCATTCTGGTTGGGTTATTGCAACTCTGCTTTAAACCCAATAATATACACTATATTCAACAGAGACTTTCGCAGAGCTTTCAAAAAAATTCTTTTAAAATAACGTGAAAATATCTTGTGGTGTGTTACACTGTTTCATTGAAACTATTCTGCACTTCTTCAATACGTTGTCTTCCACGTAATTGCTGCTATACAAAGTGCCTGCTCACGTCCTTTTTATAATAACATATGTCTGTCATAGTACAAAATTCAGGCCTCCCACAATATTTCATTTTACCAATGCCATTTAATTTTGAAATTTCATGAAAGAATTTTTTAGAAATGATGATATTTGAATCCTTCAAAAATTTTAATTTCTTTCTAAAGAGCCTCGATTATCTGAACCAGTCTCATCTGAATAATAAGGTTAAACGAAATGAAATTCTACTCAAGCACGTGGTTTTTCTTTTCCTTCCTTAATTTTATTAATATCATGCTTTAAGTCAACTATACATGATTCCTTCTGAATGAAAAGTATACTTTGGATTTCGTGACTGCATAAAATTGGTAAATTTAAGTGAACTGCATAGTTAGTTGGTTTGGTCAGTGAGTGAAGATTGCTAATTTGATATTGCCAAAGAAATTTTAAATTTATAATCGTTATTTTATTTTTACTAGAGTAGTTTAGATTGAGCATTACGGCCTCCCCTTCTGTTAAAAGCAAATTTTTTATGATAACTGAAACTTTTTATGATATCTTTTAATGATGTATAAAAATATTGCAATGTAGTGCGAAAGGAATAGGGAATGAGTGAAACTTTATGCACGGCAATATTTCAAGTTAATTTTTTTAAAAAAAAAACATCCAAGGAGTCTAGCAAGGTTTTAAAGAAAAATTTAAGGAAGTAGCGTATTACATTTTTGCTTTGTTTTTAATTCAACTAAAATACACGGGGGCCAGAGTTTTAGACAATCTGGTGATCGAGATATTTGCAAACCTCTCTTTATATTTATTTGACAAAAAACATTTACTAAGTGAATATAGCAGTTCAATTTAAAACGACTCACGAATATCAGAGTTTATCGATGCTACCTCTATAATCCGAACATTTTCCGAAGAATGGGAACGGAAGTTAGGTCCGCTGTTTCATATAACCGAGTGCCTACTGTTTTCCAAAAATAACCAGTCTTTCAAGAATAGATCTTCAAGCGGTCAGGAAAAAAATTTATATTCACATAAAAAAAAATTTGCAGAAATTATGACAAATTGAAAAAACTGCTATTTAAAAAGAATTCTATTTTTTAGGCTTACTAACAAATTTTGTAGTGATACAAATGACATCATTTCAGTTCTTCAAACTTATATCTATGAATGATTTCAAGGCAATTACATGTTGTGGGAATACTGAAAAATCCTTTTTCAAGGAGTGTCATGACATTTAATTTTCATTATTTAAAATGCCCTACAAGTTTTAATATAGAAGAAAATAGTACTTTTTAAAATATGTCGTTTCTCCAGAATGTTAAGGAGAATATTGAACCTTAATATCGTTAAAAATTAATGCAATCTTAATATGTTGGTTCATTTAATCATATTGTATTTTTCAAACTTGATTACACACAATACTTTGGTTCAGTTTTGATGGTGCATTTAATACTTTATTAAGGTTGAGCAAATTTCTCTCATATTATGGTTCAAAGTAACGATATAACAGTTAACATTGAATTGATATTTTTCAAGAGTGCGTAACCCTGTTATTAAAAGTGGGTTCATCATTGATAACACTTATGTAATTTGCACGTTTAAGAAATTATTTCATTCCAACCATTATAATATTATATAATTTTTTTAAATTAATCCCCTTACACTACTATTTCTTTATTACCTTGATTTTTATTTGTAAAAAAAATTTAAGGACTTTGTTTACTGAATATAAGAGACTACAAAAAGGTGTGTGATAAAATTGGTTGAGAATTTTCAGCCAATTATTTAATTCAAAATTGATCAGAGTGTTGACATCCTATTCAACATGCACTAACATGAAACGTCCCAAGTTTAGATTTATTCTATTTTTTAAAAGTCCAATCGACTCGTTACGTTACGTTAGAATGAATGACATCACTTCCATCATATCAATTAAAATTAACATTTCTTCCTCTTCTTGGGCACGACAGCCTATGAGAGGCCAAGGCCGTCCCAATAAGTTTTTGCCATCTTGATCAAATTGACAGTTATTAACACATTTTTAGGACTCAAAATTCCTCCTAACTTAACAGAAATTATTTTTTGGCATAAGCACTTTTTAAAGATTCTGTTCTTTTAAATATTATTAAAAGCAACACGTATCTGGCATTTGCTTTTTCAAATAATTTTTCTCTTAGTCAATAACAAAAGCTTTTTTTTTCGTTACAAATATTTTAGTAAATGCATATTAGTGATAATATTCTTTCCTGGTATCTCAATTTCAGATTGTGGCTTATTTTTTGACATTTTTTTTTAACTTCTTGAAACAGATTTTCGCTACTTCAAGAAGAATGCTAAATTTGTTTAAAAATTTATTCGTATTTGGCAAATATTTTAGTAAATGTAAATGGGAGAATACTTAATTCTTGGGAAATAATTTACTTTTAGAATTTTACTGTTTTTGACATTTTGCTTCACGGGCTAAAAAGCTACAGATTTGTTGACTTTTCAAATAGTTTGTCACCTTATCAAGCAGACAAAAGAGCCACGTTTGTTTAATTATTTATATATTCAAATAATGATTTAGGAAATACAATCGTGAGAATAATTTTTATTTAGGGATTCTCGCATCATTTCAAAGTTAAATAATTTTTTGTCACTTAGGATTGCGTCCTACAAATTTACAGACTTCTTGAAATTTTCAAATAATTTCTTACCTTATCATATAGAAAATTCGTTGAATTAAGTATTAGCTTATTTATTCGCATTCATCAAATATTTTAGTAAATGCAGTTTTGAGAACACTTTTCTTTCCTTGAATATCATTCAATAATAAATTTTGACATTTTGCATTGCGCCCTAAAAATGCATGGATTTTTCGACTTTTTAGAATAATTTTTCTCCATGTCAAGAAGAAAGAGCTGAGTTTGCTTAGTTGTTTATTAGTTTATTTAAAAATTAAACTAATATTTTAGTAAATACAATTTGAGACTACTATTTTCCTGAAATATCACTTAATTTAAGATTTAGATTGTTTTTCGGAACTTTGCGTCCCATAAAATTTGAGGAAATTTTGAAATTTTCAGATAAATTTTTGCCATGTAAAAAAAAGAAGTGCTTATTTTACAATTGTAAGGAAGAAAAGTTTATCATAAAGAAAATTCGTTGAATTAAATACTAGTTTATTTATTCGCATTCATCAAATATTTTAGAAAATGCAATTTTGAGAACACTTTTTTTTCTTTGAATACTACAGAATTTCTTTGAATATTACAGAATTTCTTTGAATATTTTCAGAAATTTTGAAATTCAATTTATTTATTCAATTTATTCAACTTAATTACAGATTAATTTTTGCCACGTAAAAAAAAGAAATGCTATTTTTACAATGTAAAGAAGAGAAGTGCTTAAGTAACTTTGTTTTAAAATTTTGGCGAGATGGGCATTACAAAAGGAAATAACTTATTAATTCAGGAAAATCTTGAGCATTAAAAGATATAACGAAATAATTTAAACTTAATGTTTCAATTATTTCGTTATATCTTAAACTTAACTGTTATAAACTAAAGTAGCAGTCAACGAAGTAATTTTTTCACCTATTTTTTTTTCAGTATCAATTATTTTTTTTATTAATTATTTTTTTATATCAATTAATTTTTTATTTTAAATTGAATATTTTGCAACTTTATTGATGCACATTTTAATTATCTTTGATTATGAGTGCATATAAGAAAAAAGGAATGGCAATAAACTTAAAAAGCATTCTAAGAAAATAAATACCTTATTTTTTCAGAAAAATAATATGTGGCGTTATAATTATTCACGAGTAAGCCTCTCATGACTTTATGGAAGCAACTCCTGATTAATTTAGAATTGAATTAAAGATAATTTCAATTGTGATGCAAATTTTAATTGTACTTAACAATGGAGGCACACTTTTACGTAACGTAAAAGTGTGCGTATTACGTAAACAAACCTTACGTAAACAAACCTTAATTATATTTGGTAACAAACCTTAATTATATTTGGTTACATTCTTAATTACGTAAACAAACCTTAATTATATTTGGTTACATTCTTAAATCTCAATTATGATCAGTTAAGGATGCAAATCTTATTTTCTTTTACTTATGTATGTAAATCTTAACTGCCTTAAATTATGCATTAAAATCTGAATTATCTTTAATATTGGATGCAAACTTAATTATATTCAACTATGTATACAAATCTAAATTTTCTTATATATTGATGCAAATTTTAAGTATAATTTATTACCGATAAAAATCTTAAATATCTATAATCAATAGTGCGAATCTAAAGTACCTTTAATTATGGGTACAAATATTAATTATATTTGAATATTAATATAAATCTTAATTATAATAAATGCAAGTTCTAATTGCATTTATTATGGATGTAAATTTTAAATATATTTAATAAAATATGTAAATCTTAATCACATTTATTATGGATGTAAATTTTACAAACATGACAATTACGGTTGCATACAGCAGGGAACAAAAGTTTTAAGTCAATATTCTTTCTGTTCTAATGTTTTCTGTAAGCAAAATTTCTAACTGATGTAAATTAGTAATTTGTGGCTTTAGTCATTCTACATGAGGGCAGCAAAGAATGGACTTATTATTTTTAATATAACAAACACGAAACAAAAATTTGAAAAAATCAAAATCAAAAGTTTTGAGACGATTCAGTTTTTCTAAATTTTTATTTTTTTTTATTTTATAACCGTCGTTGAACTGCCGACCCAATTTTTGAATTTATGACGACTAATGTTCAACTCCGTAGCCTTGCAATTTTGAACCCAATCCAGATGACAAGACAAGGGAACTCCTGGATGAAGTATTGAGAGAAATCTATTTCGATGGAACTAACCCTAATTTGCGAAACATGGAGAGAAAAATCATGAAAACCTCCCACGGTTAGCCCGACGACAAGGGGACTCTTACCCATGATCCGTCTTCCACTGAGGATATTTTACGTCCGTACTGTTGTCGGTGCGAGCCCGGTGCGGAATTCGTCTCAACCAGCCATCGTTGGGATTCAAACCCAATTCACCTCATTAGAAGACGAAAGCTCTATCTCCTGAGCCATCACGCCTCCCTAAACTTTATTGAAATTAATCCTCCTAAAATAAGAAAATACAGAAATTTTTTTAATTCTTCATCGCCCTTCCTTCCTTTTGCTTTGATGACTGCGGCAAATCGTTTTGGCATGGAATTAAAGATGCCTTCTAAAGTGGACTCCGCCCATTCAACGCCCTTTTCGCCCATTCCGGGGTGACGGAAGATCCTGAAAAAGTGCCTTTGAAGAACACTTCCTCCCCTCGACTTTTCTTCTGCTGAATTCCCAAAGGTGTTCATATATATATATATATATATATATATATATATCTTTTTTATCCTAAATATTTTGTTCTATTGGACTTGTTAATGAANAGGAAATTTCTTCAAATTTAAAGTCTTCAAAATAATCAAAAATTTTTTTGTATACTTATTTAGTTAAATTTATTATTATCTTACACACAGCAGTGTAGTTTATTGACATTTGCTCAAGAAAAAAATAAAATAGAAATTCACCAAATCTTGAATGCCAGCAAAATGAAATATTAGCTTAGAAGTTTAAAAAACAGTGATTTTAAGCTAATAGTAAGTAACTCAACTTAAGCTTTATGTTAGATGGGCCATAAATTGCTTAAATTAATTCTTTTTAGCCACTCTAGAAGGAATCAAAAATGTTTTTGTTGCTGATATGTACGGAATAAAATTTTGCATAATAATCAATCATTAAATAAATAAATAACTTTGATTACATTCAAGCATATTACAGTCATACATAAACATGTTATTAGGTAAATATTTGTTTCCCCTCTTTACAGTAAACTGCTTAAAATAATTTCTGTTAACCCGTCAATGTCCAGGCATTCATAAGCCAGGAATATGACAGCCAGGATAATGACAAATTTGCCCTTTTATAGCATTTAATTTCACTTTAATTTAACATTTTGGCCTAAGACGTTTACATTCCGCAGAAAGCAACGGGATTTCTAGAAATAACTCAGATAAATCTATTTAGTTTATGTTATTAAGGATTTCAAGAAGACAGGAAAATGACAACATAAAAACCTACTCACCTTGAAAAAATTTTTGAAATAGATTTTGAACCAGAAAGTTGGTTCTTTATTCATGCAACAAGATATGTTCAGATAGTATGGTATATAATCAATCTATTAACATAAGATATTGATTGCTGGAGCTATCTATTTTGGTTATAAATCACGGAATAAAAGTAGTCAGGAAAATGAGAGATTTTCATGTGGCAAACAAATTATTGACAGAAAAAATTGTTTTAAATAAAGTTTTTGTAAATAATACCCTCTGCGTATATTCTAAAAATGTTTACAACGGTTGAGATTATAAAAATTTGATATTTAAAAATTTATGTGAAGTTTAGAAGCTAGTAATTATTGGGTATATTGCTTGTGACATACCAGAAACATGACATTTTGAAATTCAATTACATTTTATAAATATACAAAACAGTCGATGCTAGTACAAGGTCATTTTGAAATGCTAACAGCAATACTATTTATTAAAATTTAAAAGAAAAAGTTCTTTTAGTAGTATAGTATTAGATCTTGGAGCAAGTGACTAAAATGTCATATTTCGTGAAAATCACCCATATATGTTCCGATTTTGAGTCTGCAGAAGCGCCTGTTCTGTATATATATATATATATATATATATATATATATATATATCAACAGAACAGGCGCTTCTGCAGACTCAAAATCGGAACATATATGGGTGATTTTCACGAAATATGACATTTTAGTCACTTGCTCCAAGATCTAATACTATACTACTAAAAGAACTTTTTCTTTTAAATTTTAATAAATAGTATTGCTGTTAGCATTTCAAAATGACCTTGTACTAGCATCGACTGTTTTGTATATTTATAAAATGTAATTGAATTTCAAAATGTCATGTTTCTGGTATGTCACAAGCAATATACCCAATAATTACTAGCTTCTAAACTTCACATAAATTTTTAAATATCAAATTTTTATAATCTCAACCGTTGTAAAC